CCTGCTGAAACACAGTTCCCGGAGCTGTGAAACAGCTCGGGTACTTGCAGGGATGGATACCCTGAATGAGATCGGTGAACATCAGGAATGAGAGCATGGCATACAAACAGCTTTGATGATGCATTTCCTAACTTTGGTGTGCTTTACTTACAATTTCCTCTGGTTATCGAAGGGCATTGTCTAAGTAAGTAAGTAATACACAGCAGCCTGCTATAACTGGACTCTCCCTATTTTCACAGGTATGTCATGTCCTGCCAACAGCAACTACAGCTCATGCATGTCTGCGTGCCCAGCATCCTGCAACGACTTGACCAGCCCCTCTGAGTGCGAATCACCTTGTGTTGAAGGCTGTGAATGTCTCCCTGGCTATGTTCTTAGTGGTTCTGACTGCGTGCCTTACAAACAATGTGGCTGCACATACCTTAACAAATATTATGAGGTACGGTCTCTCTATGGGTCAGACAGCTCCTGCAGCACCAAAAAATATTTTCTTCTGCTACTTATTTTGAGGATCTCCTCATTATTGTCAGCACGTAATTTTGTGTTAGAAACAAACAGCAATTGTGTAATCAGATTTTGGTGTCTGGAGGAAGGGAATAGAGAGCAGATCACTTGGTCTGCCTCTGAAACTCTGCCTGCCAGAACACTCAAGGCAGGCACTTGGAGAAAGTATATGATTACACTCTGACATCCATGTTAATTCTTCACCTTTATTACAAAACAGAATACCCTCATAGGCTCTAAAGTTTACAACACGTCAGTTACAGAGAAACTCTGTCAGTCACTGTGTTACCTCTTCTCTCAGTGAAAAGTGGTATAATAAGCAGGGTTGAGAGTCTGTAGAGTTGGCTATGACATGAAGAGAGGCCCAAGCAAGGCTGGATTCTGAGGAATGTGGAGAATCCTCCATTGCCACTGCAGGATAGAACAGCTTCATAATCTCGTAGATTCTTTTTTTAACACTGGAGATTTGGAACAGAAAAGGCCTAAGCCAGTAAAGTTTGTTTTATGGGAGGAGGCAGACACTTGCTAGAAACAGCTGGCTCTTGCCAGAAAAATGACACATAGCCTTTCCACACTGCCTTGGAGGCATGATGTGTTGCATGTGCCACTCTCTTTTATCTCCAGCAACCATTAAGACATTGTTGTCTGCACATGTACCCTGACTTGGGGCTAGGATCTCATACCCCAAACTCTTCTTTTGCCTTCTTTCTTCAACTATCCTTTAGTTTGAAAGAGCTGGATTAGTAAACCGCTTGCTTTCTTTTTTGTACCATATACTAAGAAAAAAAAAAATAATCTGCCCTGTTGCCACGCACCAGGAAGGCATCAGACAGAGTAGCATGGGGCCCCAGCGCTCCACTCATGGTTTTTCTGGCTGATTTTAGTTGATATTTTTATATATTTAACTGCTGTCTTCCAGATTGGAGAAATATTTACCACTGATGACTGCTCTCAGAGATGCCAGTGCACAGAAAGCTCCACTGTCTCCTGCTCTAACACAGTGTGTGGATCTGGTGAAATCTGTGGCATTTCAAACTACAGTCGTGGATGCTACAGGAGTGAGTCAACCACTATCACATTGTCTTTGATGCTAAGAAGTCTTGAATTACTGCTTATAGGACATCACTGGGTTGGGATAGCTGCAACAGAGTGTGTACAGAAGAAAACCATACAAGGGATCTTGCTCTGATGTTTCCTCATAGAAACAGTGTTTCTTTCCCTTATTCCTGTTGTCACATACAAGTAATGTGCCTTAAAATATAGGGAATGTCCAGCGTTAGAAGTCAGTGTAATCTAAGCAAGAACAGTTCTCTCAGGGTGGGATTATCAGACGGTCTGAAGTGTTTCTCCTTCCTTTTCGCTAGGTGGACCATGTATGCCAAGTCCTTGTAAGAATGATGGAGTTTGCTCTGAAATTATCAACAGCACCTCTCTTTCTTTCCACTGTGAGTGTTCAGAACTGTACACGGGACCAAGCTGCGAGGATGAAAAAATAGGTAATAAAACTGTTTTGGATTTCCCTGTCTGCATTACACACGTGGTTTTCAAAAATCGGTGTCACTGTGGAGAAGCCGGAGCTTCCTCTTCATGTAAATTAGTGACTCAGTAAGAGCCTGTGGTCATCCAAGCAGAAAGCAGTCACATGCCCCTGCTGCGAGGTGCTAGAAGGCATGACGTCAGGGCTTGCTGGAGAATACAGGACCTGGGTCTGAAACCACTCCAGGGAGCTACATTGATCAGAGAATACAGTATAAACCCAGCAGATAGGCAAGGATTGAGAAAAAAATCGTGTTCACAGTACGGTTAGCTTTCACTGACAGGGCTCTTATTTCTTCTTCAGTTCAAGAACCTTCCAAAGAGGATTCTAAGGACCACACAGTTGCCATCGTTGTTGGAGTTGTGGCAGGCGTAGTTGTTATCGTCATTCTCATCTCCTCTGCAGTGTACCTGTACAGGTAAGGCTTTTCCCAGCTTTGCCCCGTTCAGCAGAGTCAAGACACATATACCCCTTTTAGCACCTCTAAACCTCAAAACTCCCATTAGTCACATGCCTGCGGGGACAGAAAGGAACCACAGCATTCAGGATCTCATTTGAAGAATGCAAGGGAAAACTTCACTTTCTCTCAGAAATGAACATACGCCATTTCCTTTACGCAGGGCACATGCATTCATACTCACACCTTTGTTTGACCTGTCACTACAGATAAGAATAGATATGAAAAATGGTTGTTCCTTTTTTTTTCTCCATTATACAGAAGGACGAGAAAGACGGATACAGCTGTGATATCAAGGGATTCTTCTCTGAAATGGTCCAGGCATGCATTGGATGACAGAGTACACGAGCAAGACTACGGCTGCATTGTGAACACTGCATTTGATCAAAATTGATACCAAAATACATACCTATACTTAGCAATGTTTTTCCAATTCATTTGTAGTACTTTCTGCTCTTTTATTTTAATAGTATTTCTAGTACTTTGAGAGGAAATAATAATTAATAAATCATTGCATTTGCTGAAAACCTTTGGAATTGTTCATCTAAAATCTCTTCCAGATCTCATGTTGTAGACCCAAATTGAAATGCATCCTAAATCACGTTAGAGACTGTGTTGTCTTCAAAGGCTGCTTGAAAAACACAAAGTCGAGACAGAATTTGCCAGCACAAGTGTGCTGCACACCACCCCATACACACCTCTGGTAGCTCCACAACCCGGAGACTGATGAGGTCAGAATTAACTATAGCATCCCAGGCGGGTGTTCATCAGATCACCTTACCCAAATCCTTCCAGGGGGAGGGGAACAGCTGGCTGAGCTGGACACAGTTCTTGCTCCTTTTCTGGCAAGGCACGTCCAGCTGGGGAGAGAAATATGTAAGACCACGCTGACCTCATTTGGTGGCAGCGGTAGTAAAAAACATGACCCCCCATTGCCACCCTTGGGTGTGCTGGACTGAAAGAAGTGATTGTTTGAAGGAGAGCTGCCTCCTTGCTGTCAGGGTGAAGCGGACAAGAAGTAGGGTTGTCATCAGCCCCTGGCCTGTGGGTGCTAAGGAAGAGCATAACAACAACTTCCTGAAGAATGAGATCCTGTCATAACCTCTCCTTGGGGTGTTTGCAAACTGAAGCTGCCGCATGGTGATGAACATGGGTAGAGGTCTGCATTGCTCAGTCCCTGACTATGCTAAGGACCCCCCTACAGCAGAAGATCAAAGGAGTTTGTCGCAAGGCCTGATAACACGCAGTGTGCGAGACACCCACCCCATAACAGACCCCTCACAAGGCTCAGGGGAGCGAGACACTGCCTGGGCCTTGTATGAACCCCGAATGAATTTCCAGTGCCACGAATGAAGCTTTGAGACATAAGGAATGCACCATGAAGGTTTCTCTGATGCTTTTCCAGTTCTTTGCAGGTTCACTTCTCATTACAGTGAGGAACAGTGTAGGCTTTCCATTGTTTCTGCCATAATCCTGGTTATTCTTTACTTACCTTTTCTCCTTTCCCTTGTATCCATAAACTCATGTGCGCTGTTAGCCAAAAAAAAAAGTATTTGTAACCTCCATGAAAAGTTAGGTAGATAAAAGGCATTTTACTCTGCTCCATGCCAGCTGTCCATACATGCACAGCACAGCTATTTTGGGGAGGATGTGAATAGAAGGGGGCTTTCAGCCTCGCTACATAATGAAAATGAATCAGCGCGACAGACCTACTCGTGCGCAAATGAACTGTCAACCTTATGCTGGAATCCCACCGCAATTACAAAAGCATTTTTCCTGGCTGTTCAGTGGGAGCTTCTTGTTGTGCTCCCGCCCTTGCCAACAGCGCGGTTTGTGAACGTTGAGCGGCGCTGACCACGCTCACCTCCCCGCGCAGTCGGTGGGAGCGCAGACCAGTCCCTCCCCTGCAGGACCCCAGCCCGGGCTCTCCCAACCAACAGGGCTCAGCTGTGCCGGATAAAGCAAATTTGTGGATTTCCATGTATACGTGCTTTTTTTTTTTTTTTTTTTTTTTTTCCTCCAGTACGGCAAGGATTGCCTTGGTTTGGCACTGCAAAGCTTTGCAAATACTTGAGACTTGAAACACGGGGGGGACACAGAAAGCAGAACTGCAATTCAGTGCTCCACTGAATCAACTATTTCACGTCAATAGAAGCCAGAAAGACCACAAATCTTCCACTGCTCTAATCTTTTAAATCACCTGGCTTGCTCACCTGACTTTTGAAATGCTGGGTTTTCAATACACCGCTTAGTTCAACTCACGCAGGGGGCAGTTTTGCTGTTAGCGCATCCTTCTTCTTCAGCGTACTGCGCCGGCAGCAGCCCCGGAGAGAGCCGTAACCTGCTCACCTGCGCTCAGGCTGCCTGTGCTGCCCACCCCTCAGCCCCGAGGGCTCCTCTCACGTCCTGAAGGAAACTCCTGAGCCACAACACGAAAAACACATGCAAAGCCATCCTAGAAATCTCTTTGCCCTCAAACGGCCAGCGGGATTTACCCTCAGCTCCCCCTCCTGTGCTCTCCTTTGCCGGCAAAGAAGCGGAGCGGCGGCTCCGCGCTGCCCTTCGCTCAGGAAAGTTTCCCCGCTGCGGGACGCCCGCCCGGGCAGGGCGGCTGCCCCCGCTCC